AACAATATAGAATAACATCTGCTTCCTGTCAAATGGATTTTAGTGCAAGATATAGATTCTGCTCTATCTACCTGCCCAACACCATAAAAACCTAAGAAATCTCTGTAGCACAGAAACTCCCTTTGTCCCATGGAACTAAACATCACTGAATTACACCATTGCAGCTGGTGGTAGCAGAAAGTTAGAAGCATTTTAATCATGTATTGCTAAAAGACAATCAACATCACCATAGTTCTACCAGCTTTTAAACCATTTGAGACATTTATCAGACAAACTTGAAAGTAGACTGCAATATTCAGAACTTCTAGAAACCAGATTATCAGTTTTCAAATTTTTCTTTCCACTGTACACCAAGAGCATGGCTCTGTATGTACACTGGACAGTGATATTACAAGGACAATATCCGACCATGCCAGGGCTGCAGAGTCTCCCTCTCCCCAGGAAATCCATACACGGGGAGGCTCAGAAGACAAGGGGCACTACGCAAGTCATTACACAGAGCAACAGAACCACAGCCTGGCTCATGGTCCATCCAAACCCCAGCAGAAATTACAGCTCTGAACACCCTACACGCACCATGGCATAGGTTGTGGTCTTCCTTACAACTCATTACAACAAAAGTAGAAAAGAATCCTGGAAAGAACCTGCAACCTACCTGCTTGCTAAGATGTCCAGAGTCCCTCATTGGCTAAGGCCAATTCTGCTGGGCCTCAGAATATTTTCAGCTCCCCTAATGGGTGATCAGAGATCACCAGACAGCACAGTACTTCCTATTCTGCCCTTCCAGCCCAGTAGACAGGGTTCTAGACCAGAAAGTTTGTATTTTAGTAGACAGTCATCCACTTTCCTAGCACATATCCCATTCCTCATCCAAAGCACAGGGTCCTTTGAATACACCTTCTATTACACACTCAATGTGCAGTGCAGCCAACCTATCACCTCATACCTGGGAAATCCTGCAGCCAAACATGGGTCACATTTACAACTGTTGTTAATGAAAAATAGGCCATGAATTAGAAGATAATAAGGGGTCATAGTAAAGCTTGGGGACAGGAAAGAGAATGCGGATATGATATTGTTATAATCTCAAAAAAATATTTTGAAAAGTTGAAATAGGATTCATGGCCATGTGCTTCAGAAACTAGAGATTTATATTAGAGCACATCAAAGATTTCTCAAACCTTTCATCTCTGGAGATATATTTAAAACCAGTAAAATAACAGTCCGGTTAGGCGGGCTACATTTTACTCAGATCTATTTTGGTTGAACTACTATAAATATAGCAATTTAGTTTTATGAGAAGGTCAGTTCTTTATTTAGATTCTTGATAGTCCTGGCCTGTGGACAACAAGAAATGGCCACCAGGACAATTATGGAGCATCTAAAATTGATTACTGAATTCCTAATTAGATAATTAGTAAATAGCTAAGCATTGCTAATCTCAACTACCGTTGAAGTAGGAAAGTTCTCAACCACTGTCCTGTCTTTCACTTTCTGCACTGTGAATATACCAGCTTCAAGCTTGACCTATGTACTCAGTTCTTGCACAGATCCCTCTTCATTTATAAGCAAGCACTAAAAGACTGAGATACTGGAGGTCACTCACTAGCTGGTCTATTTTTCCTTTTCACAAACCAGTCAAGGCCCTGTCCTGAAGGAGTTTCAGGACTATCTACCCAGCACTGGGCAGCAGAAGCAGGATTGGGAGTTTAAAGAGATTATCAATTATATAGCATGAGGCAACAATATTATAAGCTCATAGTCTCCCACACCAGTATGGCAGAGTCTCCCCCTCCCCCAGGGAATCCACACTCAACAAAGCCACTACCCAGATCACCAAACAAACTAACAGAATCTGTCTGGATCATGGTCCATTGCTTTCCAAGCAGCTAATAGCTCAGCCAACCAGCTCTTTCTGGTCTGGGGAAAGTGGCCCCTACATTTACCATTGCATGGCTTTGTGTTCCTCCTTACAGCTCCATTCAGCAGAAAAAGAGAATCCTGGAAAGAACCTGTAAGCTACCACCTATGGTGATACTGACTGTCAAGTAGAGTCCTTCATTAGCTAGAACCACCCAGCTGGGCTTCAAGACATTAGCAGTTAACCTACTGGGTGAACAGAGATCAAATGTCTCAGAGAGCAAAACCCCTTCAGGTTTCCTTCCACATTATGGTGAGACAAGACCCTAATTTATAGTTTAGTAAAATCTTCCATTTTCCCAGAGCAATTCCTGTTCCTCCTCCAAGGCACATGGTCCTATGTGTACATATTCTATTACACACTCAATGTCCAGTGTAGTCAACCCTTTACTTCATAGCTGGGAGGTCTTGTAACCAAACCCAGGTCACATCCAAGCAGTAATTGTTAAACAAAAAGAGGCCATGGATTAGAACACAATAAAGGGTCCATGAGAACAATTGGAAGCTAGAGACAGATAGTGAAAATAATGTAATTACAATATCAAAAGAATACGGTTAAAAAGTTCAAACAAGCTTCATGGTCATGTGCTCCAGAGACTAGGGATCTGTATTAGAGCACACCAAGTACAACTCACATCATTTCTCTCGGGGTATACAGTCATGTTAGGCAGGACCACATGCTTTTACCCAGTTCTTCTAGTTTGCTTGAACTACTGTAACTACAGTAATTTGGTTTAATTATGTTTTTATATAGATTCTTGAATGCATGGTCTGTGGTGTGTCACTACTCATTGCTAATGACAACTTTTGCCCCAGCAGGAAATCTTTCACCCTTTTTCTTGCCAATCCCCTTTTCTGTTGTGACTTTGCTTGCTTTACAGTTGGTCAGTGAACTAAATTCTTACACTGGTCCTACTCCACTTGTAAATTCACAATAAAATCTAGAGAAGTTGGAGGGTACTCATTCACTGATCTATTTCTCCTTTCCACAGACCAGTCAAGGTCCATCCTGGTTGGAGTTGCAGGACTATCTTTCTAGCACTAGGTAGCAGAGGCAGGATTAGGTGTTCAAAGCAATTCTCAATTACATAGTGTGAGGAAAGCCTGAGCTACAGGAGCCACTGATATAAACCAGTTGCTCTCAATCTTCCTAATGTTGTGACCATTTAAAACAGTTCCTCCTGATGTGTTGAACCCCTAACTATAAAATTATTTTCACTACTACTTCATAACTATATTTTTGCTACTGTTATGAATTATAATATAAAATATCCGTGCTTTCTGATGGTCTTCGCCAGTCCTGTGATAGGATCATTTGATCCCCCAAAGGAAGCTGTGACCAACAAGGTTAAGAAACCCTGCTCTAAATTGATATAAATAAATAAACAGCACTTAAGAAAGAATGGAATGAAACTCCTAAACTAGGAAACATTGAAAATATAGCAGTAATTCATCTAAAGAAAATGAATGTTAAAAATGATACCAATAATTGATGCTTTACAATAATAAAAATAATAGAACACTTATCTATACTAAATTTGAAATGGAGTAGTCCTTTCCCTGAGAGAAATAGTGCCATTAATAAGAGACTGTATGACTTTGTTCCATGTAAAATGTTAGCTACTAAGTGTTGTGATGTGATGGTGTTACAGTCAATTGCCTGTTTTTCAAACCTTTCAGCTAACTTAACAATGTCAGCTAAGATTGTACATATCTGCATAGGAGAGTTCTCTAATTGGAAACTGAATACTTAGTAGTTCAAGCTATCCTCCCTAAATTGTACACCCACCAATTCTGTCTGTCTTCATTCACATGGAAGGAATTAATACCTGCAGGGAAATTACAGAGAAAGTCACTCACCATGCCCCATCAGTCCTTCTTTATAATGGAGACTCCTGCAGAGCAGTCTGTGACCTAGCCATTATCTAGTCTGTTTCCCCTACAGTGAACACAGAACAATGTTCCTCCTCTTCTGCTCTGAAGGGAGAAGCCATGCTCCACACACAAATCCTTTCCCTATTCTGCAATGGACAGTCCACTATGTTACTCAAACACAATTTTAGAACTGTGTGGTAATTTTAGAACTTTGTGGTGCTGCAGACAAGTAATGCAAGGTTTAGAGTGCTTAGTCAAGAGGAGAACAAGGACAATGCCTTGTGGGGCTACAGACAGGTTTCTAGCACATCTCAATCAAATTAGGAGACCTTGATTCAAAATAACTTTTCAAAAAGACTAGAAATTAATTATAGAATAAATATACATTCATGGCACAACAGGACTTAAGGTTGTGATCCTGTAATGGCCCCTTGAGCAGCATTTAGAAGCCAGTTTTTTAATGGACAGATGGGCATTTGTGCTGGTTGTAAATCAGGCTTGTCTCCTTTGTGATGGGAATGTAGCTGATTAATCCTGGGGAACAAACTTTTATATTTTATCATACTAATCTCTAACAGGTAAGAATACCATTGCCTTTGGGGCATTTGGGATGCAGCTCTCCCTTACCGAAATTCTATTTTGTGACTTAATGTCTCCTAAGAACTGGAAATTATATTAGCATCAATTCTACTCTTCTACAGTTTAGCAGTGGAGTGCTACTCTATACAAGAAATACTGTTTACAAGCTCCACACAATTAACTCCAGATGGATCCTAAACCTAAATATTAAATGTTCCAAGTGAAGAACTTCTGGAAGATACTAAAGGGAACAGAGCTATCTGACTTCGGCAAATCTGTGTCCATTGCGACAATACAAGCACTAAGGGAGCCCACATGTCACAGTGAAGTCAACAACAAGGGTATTTCAAAGCACAGTCCCACTCCCAAATCTCTGAGCAGACGCAGTAAGGATAGTAAGTTACTCAGAGGCTTCCAGCCAGCTCAGGAATTTCAAAGATCATGCAGAATCACACAGGATCACACAGACCCTGCTGGGGCACGCAGGACCAGCAGGCCCAGGCAGAAACATGATGAACTCTGCATCTGGTCACCGGCTCCCACCCAGCTTAGAGGAGGATGCACCACACTGTCTCCCATGGCTCAACTAGCCACTTCTCCCGGTCTGAGGATAACCCCAAGCTCACCATGTCATGATTTTCCAGCTTGTCCATGCTCCCTGCTCAGCTCCCTGCACTCACAGTAGAACACACAAAACCACTAACGCCATCTTCTCTTCGAAGTCAAGCTTGAAAGTGGCCACCCCCGGAAGGATCCTGCACAACTTCTGACTGGCAGGTCACCTGGAGGGCCTGATTGGCTAGTGAGTCCTGAGTGACAAGAGCACTTCCCATAGCTTAAAGGCACAGCTCAGCCGGGTGGTGATGGTGGCAGCACATGCCTTTAATCCCAGCCCTTGGGAAGCAGAGGTATGCGAATCTCCTTGAGTTCTAAACCAGCCTGCCTTTTTCAGGACAGGCTCCAAAGGTGCAGAGAAACCCTGCCTCGAAAAACTAAAACTAAATTTAAAAATGAAAGAAAGAAAGAAAGAAAGAAAGAAATCTGCAAAAGCTAGTTCCAGGAAAGGCTCCAAAGCTACAAAGAAATCCTGTCTTGAAAAACAATAAATTAATTAATTAACTATTGAAATAAAAATTTAAAAAATGAAAATTAAAGACATAGCTCAGTGGTTCCTGGCCCTGCCTTTCATCCCAAAGACCTTTTCTAGATCAGCAGAAATGTGTTTCCATAGCACGGGCCCTTGGCTCCAATAGCAGACCCTGCTATCTTCCAGCTCTCCACAGGCACTGCCCGTTCTTCTCCTTGACACAATGTGGCTAGCTAGCTTGTGCGGGCCACTGTAATATACTATGTCCCTGTCTCACAGTGGAAGGATGCCAAGAATATTATCAGCCAAAGGGAGATTTAAAGATACAAAAGGAGATATTTGTTATGTGACACTGAGGTCAGGTGAACTGAAAATAATTTTTACCTGGATGTCACAGGGACTTCAGATAACCAGGAAAGAAAAGTAAGAACTAGATCACAGATTAAAAACAAATCAAAAGACCCCCATACTTGAAAGACCCCCATGCCCATGTACTATGTTAAACTTTGCTGAAATATTGCTGGGCCCCTCAGCTCAGGCGATGCTAAAACTGGATATCTATGGGTTGCAGACTCACTGACTAGGCTAAGGAGAGAGACAGAGTGCTATATCTAGCTTTGTGGTTTTTCAGGACTAAGGAGAGGGATAACTCTAAGTTAGCATTCTTATGTTCTATAAACAAAAGTTGTAAAACTCACAATGTAAAGTGACTTTAAGCCTGACCTCAAGGTTGTAAAAGACCTTTGACACACACCTGGTGCTAGATTTTACTATAGGAAGAGGCTCCAAACCAGCCCTCAGGGCCACAGTTTCAGAAGCCAGCCTCTGGCTGTGATCACAGGTATAGGTGACAAGATTTGTGTGCCCCGTGGTGGTTTTTTTTTTTTTCTTTTTCTGGAATAAAGCTTACTTCTTGTTTAATAGATTTTGGAGGTCTATCCCACCATTATTGTGTGACCACCAAACACAACAAATATTCCTTATACATGGAGGTGACTACCAGAAAGTGTGATCTAGATTTAAGGCAGATCTTAGTCTTTGTTTGATTGGGGTTTTTTTCTTTATTCTTTTTTGGTGTTTTTGAGACAGGGTTTTTCTCTGTAGCCCTGGAATTCATTCTGTAGATAAGGCTGGTCTCAAACCTAGAAAAATCTGACTCCTTTAGTCTCCTGAGTGCTGGGGTTAGAGGTGTGCACAGCAACCAAGCATCTGAACATGGATATCTCTTCAAATGATCCAGATTAAAGACAGGCCTTTAATTTTAAAACCTTTAGAAAAATCCCTCATTGGTATACCCATTGGGTTTTAGTTAATTCCAGATGTAGTCAATTTGACTTCCAAGATTAGCATCACAACAGTCAAGACAGAAGAAATAAGAAAAATTGTTACCTCCAGGAGACAGGGAAAGCATGGGAGTTATTTCCAAAACAATGCTTTTCCAAAACAAAGGAAGCATGTGGATTTTACTAAGGGAGTCTACACATTTATGTAGAGTTCTGTCTATTCCTAAGCAGGTTCAGTTAACAAATCCATTTCTGAATATGATGACAATATAAAAGTGGAGATGTTTAGGGACATTCTCACTTCAAAGTCATGTAGAAACATATAAATTATAATAATGATGGAAAGAAATGCCTCTGACATGATTATCTTGTATCACAAGTGTTAGTATTCAGGCATCTGTACTGGTCTGCCCTTGGGGTTGTGACAAGATATGTCCTCAGCTTCAGTCACTAAGATCACCTCCTGTGCACATTAAAGGTGGGCCTTGCCCACTTCCTCTCTTTCCCTCTCCCTCTCCCTCCATTTCTACCTTTCTCCCCTTTTCTCTTTCTCTTTCTACTTCTTTGCATGTCTCTGTCTTTTACCCCCATCTCTCTGCCTCTATCTTCTCTTCTGCTGCTCCTTTACCTAAAGACTGGTCTCCCCATTTTTTTCACATTCCCTTTACCCTAATAAAAAATCCCTCCTTGTGAGCTCTCTTTTTGTGACACTTTTTAAATTTACAACAACAAGGTCTTAGCTGAAAATCAGGTAAACCACACAGTGAAAGAAGATTGCTTTGGAGCCTATGTGACCTGTCAATCTTGATGTTTAATCTAAAAGATAACTGTACCAATGCCACAATTCTCACAGATACAAAAGATAGAGAACATAAATAGAAAATACTTCAAGAAAAGGCCACTTAACAGCATTGTGTACTCTGCTCTTAGTTGGACGGTTATGATGAACTCTATTAACCTCAGAATAAAGCTGCTTTCACCTCTAAGCAGGCTGCCTCAGCAGAAAACCACAACTGTTTCCATGCAAGATCAGGAGTTGATTTTAACTAGCCCTGGCTGCTGTCTCAGGACTGTGACATCACTGTAGAGAATTCTATTCTTTCCTTTTCTAACTTTAAAAAATAAATAGATGTATGGGTGTTTTGCCAGCATACCTCTGTGCACAGTACCTACAGAGGCCAGAAGAAGGCAGGAGATGCCTAGGACTGGAGTTACAGCAAATGGTTAGCTACCATGTAGGTTCTGGGAATGAAACCTTGGGATCTGTAACAACACCCAGTGCTCTTAATAGCTGAGTCATCTCTCTAGTCCCTCTTTTTATTTAAAACTTATCTCCATAATGGTGAGGGAGGTTCCTTCTGTCTATGTGTTGCTTTTATTGGTTAATGAATGAAGAAAACTGGCTTGGTCTATAGCATGGGAGGAGGAAGGCAGAGTTAGGAGAAGCCATGGAGCTGCCAGAGACAGATACTGGTTGGAATCTAGCTGGTAAGCCACAGTCACGTGGCGATACACAGATTAATAAAAATGGGTTAAATTAACATGTAAGAGCTAGCCAATAAAAAGCTAGAGCTAATGAGTCAAGCAGTGATTTAATTAATACAGTTTTGTGTAATTATTTTTGGTCTAAGCTAGCCGGGTGGCCAGGAACAAAGTAGCAGACTCCATACAATACCATAAAATGATAATTAAAGATATTGTATCACTTTCTCCTTTTATCTCTTCATTCCCTCCTTTCCCAATCCCTTCCAGTTTCTTCCTTGTTAAGTTTGAGTGAATAAGAATGCTGAAACACATGAATACAAACTGAAGAATCCATTTTTGTTGATTGTGCATATATGAATAATTGGCCGATTATGTTGTATTGGATAAACAGGGAGCTCATCCCTGCCTGAGACTTATTTTCCCAAGTAAAGGAGAATTCTTACTTTTTAATCAGCATCAGGTATCTGAGCCTGACTAGGCTGCCTTAGACAGTAAAATCAAAAATAGAAAACTTCGGATAGAAAATACCTTACCTGTTAAGAGCACTGAAGATTCTGTCAGAGCATCCAGAATCTATTCCTGGTACATATAGAATTTCACTACTATCTGTAACTCTAGTACCAGGGGCTCTGACACCATCTTCTGGCCTCCTTGGCCATGATAAGAACAGGATATATAGACCATAAAAATTATTTTCAAGCTATCTGTGGTAGTGTATTCTTTTACTGCCAGCAATCTGGACACCAGAGGCAGGAAGATCACTGTGAGTTTTAAAGTCCGTGCTACATAGTCTACACACACACACACACACACACACACACACACACACACACATGCACACACTCAAGCACAAATATGGTCAATCATATGAGCACATGATATTTATCCCAGGTGCTGGAAGAATCTGACCATTTGACAGTGGGCCACCTGAACTGCCGATCATGAGTTGTGTGTTACTGGGCCCACCAAGTCATAAAGTAGGACATGCACAGCATGTTTCTCTGTGATTATAATGGGAGTCTGGGCAGCCAGGAAACAAACAAGTGGCCTTCCTACAACAGTTAAACATAGAGGCCAGGCAGTGGTGGCACACACATTTAATCCCATCACTTGGGAGGAGGAACAGAAAGAACAGGAGTTCAAGGCTACACTGGGCTACCTGAGATTGAATCAGTATAAAAGAAAAACAGAGCCAGGTGGTGGTAGCACAAACCTTTAATTCCAGGACTAGGAAGATGGAGACAGGAATATAATGCAGGTGGAAACAGGATCTCGGCTGCCCATTCAATCTGATGACAGGACCTGCTCTATTCAGTCTGAGATTTCATAGAGGTAAGAAGTCTCTGATAACTGGCTGCTCTGCTTCTCTGCTCTTTCAGCTTTCACCCTGAATATACGACTCTGGATTTCATTGATTAAGACTAATAAGGATTCATACTTCATACTGTTGAAGGGAAATTTGTGGAGCAATTGTCTACCCTTTTTGAGGTACTGAGTTCAGTTCCCAGCAGTGGGAAAAAAGTTCTCTTTTACTAGTAAAGCTTTTACTTTAATGAAATAATATTTTCTTTGTTTATTGTGTAGTTATTGCATTTTCTAACACTGATACTATAACTGGTTTTATTCCCTTATGAGTGATTTTAAGAAAATAATAGTCCTTATGTAAAATGTTGATTTTATAAAGTGTTACTGTGATCTGCTGGTATCTCTTTTGAAAGAATTATGAGGGAATGAAAATATTCAACTTTATTAATGAAAAGCTCTTTCACAGGCAGTCTGGGCCCTTGGCAGCATTGCTGGAGATAATACCATGTGCAGAGACTATGTCTTAGACTGCAATATCTTCTCCCATATT